AAAAATTTTGATCCCTTTCCTGGTCCCCCATTTTTTTTKGGGGGGGGGACCAGGGATTGAACTCAGGGGCACTTGGTCACTGAGCCACAGCCACAGCTGTATTTTGTATTTTATTTAGAGACAAGTTTCTTAGCACCTCACTTTTGCTGAGGCTGGCTCTGAACGCATAATCCTTCTACCTCCGCCTCAAGAAACAAACATTATGACAGATGTCACTAAAAAGTCTTCATAACATCTTAATCTGTTTGTTTTTTTAACTTTGGAGAGTTAGTTGAATATATAGCATTTTGGTTTTAAAATGGGCTGAAATGTGAGTAACCTAAGTGTCCATCAACTGATGAATCAAAACATACACAGTGGAATACTATTCATCCATTAAAAAGGATGGAGTCCTATAATTTGGGGACAACCAGGATGAAACTGAAGATCGTTATGTGAAGTAAAATAAGGCAGGCACAGAAAAACAAGAACTTCATGGTCTCATTCCTGTATGGAATCTAAAAAAAACCCCGATTTCACACAAGTTGAGCATAGTAAAGTGATCACCAAAGTAGCAAGGAGTGAGGGATACAGAAAGTTTGATCGGATCAAACAGTAGTGTTATAGTCAGGTAGGAACAAGAAGCTCTATTGTGCTATTGCAAAGCAGGGTGACCAAGTAATAATCATGTACTGTCTATCTCAAAAAGGTAGATAAAGGATTGTGAATGTTTTCGCTACAAATAAAAATAAAATTTTGAAGAAATAGGTATGTTTACCCTGATATTGTTGAAGTATCACATGGAACCCCATAAATACAGGCAATTTTTTATGTTTTTACATGCCAGTTAAAATGAATTTAAATTGAAAATATATATTAATAATCAAAATATCCTGGGCTCTGGAGTCAGGCAATCCAGGCTCAAGTACCTATTTAGCCACAACCATTTCTGTGTGACCTTACATTAGTTATTTACCTCTAAGTCCACCTTATCTATAGACTATCCTAAATCTATGCCTACCTCAGGGATGCTATGAGGTTTGAGTGAGAAAACTCCCACACAGCATTCAGTGTTGCTCTTAGTACAACAAATTACTTTTAATAGTTGTGAACATAGCCAGGCACAGTGGCGCTTGCCGGTAATCCAAGCAGCTCAGGAGCCTGACACAGGAGGATCACAAGTTCAAGGCCACCTCAGCAAATTTAGTGAGGCCCTGAGAAACTTAGCAAGACCCTGTCTCAAAGTAGAAAAATTTAAAAAGGGCAAGGAATGTAGACCAGTGGTTAAGTGCCCCTGGGTTTCAATATTCATTGAAGACAATCTCCTCTATGTCAGGAGACAAAAACAGCAACCTAGTGTTCGTCTGGTTGATCTAGGGTCCCCACAGCTATTACCAATGGAAATGGTGCCCGCTGCAGGTGGCACCCCAAACTACCTACACCAGCTGAAGAATCTCATCAAATTCAGAAACTGAAGGAATGTCACTTCCAGAAGATGGAACCCCCCTAAGGTTTTCTATCTGGTTTTCTTCCAACAGGATCACATTATCGTCCTTTTAATAGATACTCCAGCCTGCCTCCCTGAGAAGGGGCAAAATGTTCACCATCCTCACTCAGGCCAAGTATTCCACAGGCCTGACTCTAGTTCACATTGAGTGTAACAATCACATTCTGAACATATACTCAAAAACCTAAACAGAAATTATCACATAATAACAGCACAGCAAGCTACCCCAAGCTTTTCTCTATTTAATGTACCACTGACTTATGTGAAAGCCTTTATTTGCTCTTTTTCCAACCTCTGGGGAAAGATTTTTCCATAAGTGCAACTTTGAAATGAACAAAAATGCCACTGAAGTTTCGTTTTGTTACTGAAGAAGAAAAATACTTGTTATATGTGTTTAGATACTGTTCTAGAAAAGCTATAGGAAACACTATATTAATCTCATCTAAACGGAGGCAGATTTATTTTTGTAAATCACATACGTATGGAATGATTCATAATAAAGCCACTAATTAAGCTTGTCCTATGAATGTATGTTCCATATAGAGATAAAATACAACCTTGGGTATTATAATTCAGCACCAGTTACATCCTAAACACAAAGAGGCTTAGAGACGTTATTTTCACAGCTTACAAAAGGATTTTCACATACATTATCTCATTCATTCTTACAACAATCCTGTGAACTAGAGATGCACAACAAAAGAAGAAAAAGAAGATGTCCAACAGCTATTTCTCTATACTCTAAAAATACTTGATTCTGGACTATCTGAATTAATCTCACTTCAAGGTTTGTTGGCAAATACTAATTTTAAGAGTCTGCATCATTTAACTTTGCTTTATTCAGATAGCAATAAAAAACTATTCTGTCATAAACCTGAATCGAACAGCTCAAAATTTTGTCCACCAACTCATCTTTAGTTCCAAAGTTTTTTCTCAACATTTTAGTTTGGAATTTTTCAATGTCTTTAGAAATGTCTCATAATTATACAACAAAGACACCCTCCATCTACACTCACCAGTCAACCTGAGCCAGATTTGTTTTATGCATATACATAAGAATGCGTGTGTATGATGCAAATATACGCAATGTACTTAATATGCTACACTTGAAATATTGTGCATGTATTTTTATTAATTACATAATAATAAATACCATCATGTACATTTTTATATAACTCTTATATGGACCATCTGGAAGTTAATAGCAAAAATTATGTCAATTTAGTTGTAAATGATTCACTGTGAATACTCTATGAACAAAGACTTTTTTAAAATACAGCGCAATTATCACACTTTGGAGATTTTATTACTGATTCAGTGTAATGATCTAACATATAGCCCATTTTCAATTTTCCCCCAGATGACCCAATCTACCCCTTTCATAGCTGTTCCCGCCATCTAAGATGCAGTCTAGGATCACAGGCTACATTTAGATGTCACATCTCTTTAGTTTCCTTTAAATAACAATCAGTGCCCCCACCCTTTCTGGTCTATGAGGACTGGCACTTCTCAAAAGTACAAGTGTTCATTTGTGGGCTTGTTCCATTGTTTCCTCTTGATTCCATTCAGGTTAAGAACTGCAGGCAGGAATGTTGTTTACGTGGTGTGCAGGGAATGAACCAGAGGGTCTAAGGACATCAATTTGCTCCTGGGCTCATAATGTTCAATTGCTTAAATCTGTTGCTTATTTAAGGTATTCTTCATTGTCAAGGTATCTCTTCCCATTGCAATGAGGCATTCCAAGTGGTCACACTTTGAGGCTATTCTGCTCCCCAACAATCTTTCACTTACTGCTTCTAGCATCAACTGATCCCTCTTGCCTGCATCATGTATTGATTATGATAGTTCCTCTAAAATAGGGATTTTTTTTCTCTTTCATCATCCTTCGCCGTTCAGTCACTCTTCAAAAGTATTTCACGAAAGCAAAAAATACCCAGGACCACCTATACGAGAGGGTTAGAAAAAGAAAGCAGCARCTTCCTGGAGTAGGAAGCTCTCCAGGGAAGCTCACACACCCAAGTGAAGTCTGCAGTCAGTTCTGCATTGGCTGAGTGTATGGAGATATTTTCCCTATGGTTGATCTGCTTCAAAGGAACTCTTCCATTGTGTAAGCTGTGGATGTTTACCATGTACTTTGTGTCAAGATGAGGATGGGGTACTGGCAAAGGATCTAAAGGAATTACATGTTCAAGCTCCATTCAATACCCTCAACTTCCTCTCTAAAGTAGAAGGAAGGCCTTGGAAAACATCAGAGAGAAAAGTGGACCTGGCTGGAAAATCCAGGAGATCATTTCTAAAATATGTTTAGCTCTGAAACTTTAACAGTGTAGATCAAGTACCCCCAAAATTATACCCTTTCATCCGTTGCCTCACATAGCTTCAGTTCAAAGAAGGACAAAGTATTCCATTCTATTCCTTTCTACTTCTCTTATGGAAAGATACCCTGAGTTCTTATAACTACTTAACTTTATAAACATAGGCTATCATACTTTGGGGATTGATCACCCTAATTCCACGGTAATGCCAAACCCAGCACTTTCTGGGTTTATCCCCAAACACTGAGTTCCATATCACCAAATATTGGGGCAAATTAAAAATAATAATAATTATTATGTAATTACAGTGTATTCCATGAACAATCAGCCAATGATGCTACCCTGGAATATTGTTATTAGGTGTTTAATCTTGTGCCTTTCAAGTTGCCAAAGGGAAGGCCAAAATTAATGTGTGCACATTACCAGCACAATATATGGTAGAAGAAAGAAACAAATCACTGAATACTCATCTTGTGAATCTTAATGTTCGATGGAGTCATTGGAGAGCTAATCCAACTCCTTACCCCAAGGCCAGGCTCATGTCTACAGTATCTTAAATAGTATTGCCATCTCTGTTTCAATGCCAGTGTGGAAGATGGTCCATGGCACGTGGTAGTTCATTTCATCAATCAACAGTTACACTAAGATAGCCTGGAAACACGGAGCTAAGTATTGATGTGTTTTTGCACATAAAATACCGTAATGGGGAAATGCAAATTTAATTGGCTTCCTTTAAACAGTAAGCTAAGTTGGCATACGGATATGAAGCAAGTCAACAGGTAAAATATATACAAAATACATTTCAGGCCAAGGAATGTGGAGATTTCTCCCACCGTGTCTCTTGCCCTGAAATAGATCTACCTCAGTGCCTTTAAGTCAATCCTACCATTTGTATCTTTCATCAAAAAATTCCGAGGAGTATTAGTTCTTTTCCTTCTCTCCCCCACACTTGCTTTTACACATTTGGTCTCACTGGATTCAAATTACCCACAATCCAGAAGAGAACAGCCATGGCCACTCATAAACACAAGGACATGTGGATATGCAGAGACAATTACAGCCTGGGTGATTAGAACAACAGTGCTACCACAGAAATGGAATAGGAAAGCAACCTGGTTGGGAGAGATAGAGTCTGGGTTTAGTGTCCCAAACATGGCAATGATGGGAACATGTTCAGTGTTGGGGTATGAAATGCCCAATCAACACTGCCTGGAGACAGCAGTTGAAAACAGGACCAATCCATTGTCTAAGGAAAAGAGAAATGAGAGAAAAGAACAGTAACAAAGACATCTACTTATACACCCCACAAGGCTTTCTGACCTATATTTTCAAATTTGTTTTTATTTTCTAATTTTCCCCCAATGAATATGCTTGTATTCCTAGTAAGTGTTGTAGAATCGAGAATCAAGTCTTAGGTTACTGGGTGCCAAGAAGACAATCAGTAAAATCATTTGGGCTGCTTCTAATTACCATCCAAAAATATGTAAGAAATAGCTCATACCAGTGGACATGTATCAATGTTTAACGCCTTCCCTGGAGAATGAAGACCATTTCTACAGGCACCCTGGTGCATCACTTGTAATCTCTCTTTAAGGAGAACACATAAGGATGTCTTTATATTAAATCCATTCATTCATTCATGGCACTGTGATAAGTCGTGTCTCCTGGGAGGCACACAAAGTCCTCACTCCTCTAGATCTTACAGTATTTAAATATTCTTGTGCAAAGTCAAAGATAATTTTGTGCCTTGTATCATTTCAGGGCACTCCTATGTATGAGTGAATATAAGTACAATTTTACAATTTTCTTTCAACACTGGCAAATAAACTACTTTTATCATAAAGCAATAATATGCTACTTACTTTATAACTATAAACAAAATTGCATATTTTAAAACTTAGTTACCAACTTTATCCATCTGCTGCAGCTATTAGTAAAAAGTTCATTAAATCTTTTATGCCACAATAGTCTGAGCTCAGGTTATCGGGGCCTGCCCTATATGTTCAATGTTAAGTTCCTCTCCTTGAACCTGCCAATTCTCCCCGAAATGCTTAGCATCTCCTCCCTACCTCTCTCCCGGCACCCAAATTATCCAGATTCTTTCCCCTCTTTCATGTTGGCATCCCCAACTCATCTAGTCTAAGGCTTCATTCTCTGGATTCTGTTAGTTATGTGTATAATCTCTAAAATATATATGTGCATGAACACGTATGTGTTTCTCCTACCAATTATATGTAAATTTCCAATCAATTTAACATCTAGGTTTAAATTTTCTTATGTTGTTCTATAAATATTTCATGTAAGTTTCTGTCTCTCTCTCTCTCTCTCTCTAAACTAGAATAAACCAGTAAGCTATTTGGGGGAATACATCCATCTGTGGAGTATATATGTATGTGTGTGTGTGTTCACTAGCAACATTCTATGTGATTTAATGCATATAGATGTAGACAATATTTGCATGTAACTAAAATACCTCTTGGCATTTATAAAATTTCATATAACACCTTATATGCATTGGCCATTTGGTAAATGCTTTAGATCATAATATTACTTACAAGGCCAACATAAATTCATTCCACACATAACCAAGTTTATTTTCAGAAGATCCTATTTGTAGGGGGATGGGGTGGGGGGTGGGGGGTGGAATACTGGGGATTGAACTCAGGGGTACTCAACTACTAAGCCACATCCGCAGCCCTATTTTGAAGTTTATTTGGAGACAGAGTCTCACTGAGTTGCTTAGCAAGCCTTGCTTTTGCTGAGGCTGGCTTTGAACTCACAATTCTCCTGCCTCAGCCTCCTGAACCACTGGGAGAAAGATCCTATTTTGATGAACAAAGAAGCAAGTAAAGCTTTTAGCATATTGATGTAATTGTTATTAATATTATATCACTGTCCTATATGGTTTAAGACAACATCATAAAGATTAAGAAAAAGACAGATGAGTTATTAGTAATTAATACAGGAATAAAAAAATCTAAGACTTCAAAGTCGACAATATTTTGTGACCCATAATAATTGGACTTGGGTCTTTCTTTCTCTTATAGAGGTGATAAGTTCATACAGAGTGACCAATTTCTTCATGAGCAGTCAAAAGACCAGTGAGGCAATAAAACCAGCTCAAGCTCCTTAGGACCATTCTTTAACCAGTTAAGCAGACCACCACCAGAAACCAAGTTGCAGACAATAAAGAGAATGCCCAGGGTTTGGAAAGAGTAAAAACAATTATCAGAAATACACAGGCCAAAGGAAATAAAAGCCACCCAGCTCAATCAGTCTCCACTGAAGTGCAGGTGTGGAAGGGTGACGAGACCAGGCAGGAGAAGACAGATGAGGAAAGAAATCACCCAGAAACAAGACATAATGAACAGCCTCACATTGGTGAGGGAGAGATGGTGTCTCTGAGAGCAAGCTCGACATCGATTTCTGTGATGACTAGGATCTCAGGGTTTCACATGCGTGCACCACAAACACACACACGCTCTCATATGCATTAGGGTTGAAGCCATATTTACTCATTATTTAAGGGTCTCAACACTTTGAAATGAAACCAGCTGCTGATTTCTATCTACATTTAAGACTTCTATCAAAGTGATGTGCCATGTCTTGATGGTCTTAGAAACAACTGTTTTGAACTCTGAAGACCCTCCTTATGGTGGGAAGAGGGCACACTTAGTGAATGGGGCTGTTGGAGGCTTCATTTGAAATCACCAGCATTCCTCTTGCCTTTTTCCTGCAAAATAAAGCTTCAAAGTAGCAGGAAGGCACAGACTGAAGAGGTAGAAATGCTCCCTGTAGAAAAACACAGGTGGATCTACTAAATGCAAAATGAATTGAGAGGGAATATAAGTTTTGCTTCCTGACCATCAAAAACAGTTTGGTGGATTTGTGCCAAAACTGGAAATAAAAACGTGCTCTTTTCTCCCTGCACCCTCCAGAGTTGCCTTTGAAGTCACATGTGCTCCACAGGGCACAGACAGAAACAAAACTCAGGYTCTTTTAAAATTTTATTGTATATGGTTTGATATGAGACAGTGTCCTTCAAATATTTACAAAAAGTCATTTTCAGCTACTTCTTGGATATGCTACACTTTTCTTTTATGCCCTGGAATTTAAATCCATGTTTCCCTCTGGTTATACCTTCTGGTCTCAGAGACAGCCTCGAGGACTTGGCCCAGTAACTTGGATCAGGCTCAGGTGTGCCTGGACGGACAGGCTCCAGCTCTTGGCTTATAGGGACTGAGGCTGACTTCTCAGCCACCTGGCACACCTTGGCCAGCTCCGCAGCCTTCTGGTCACCCCTAACCAGCTCCCTGCAGGGCCTCAGGCCCTTCTTAGGTCACATTCTGCCTCAGCAGCCTATGGGATGAGGTACAGCTGTCCATTCTTCATGCCTGGTACCCTACACAGAAGGGAAGAAAACTATTGCATTTGAGTTAATAATTATCTTCAAACCTAGGGAATTCCTTAATAAGCCTCATTATTTCCTTAAGTATATAAATACTTGTTTTGTTTTCTAACTACTAGATAAGTAGAGTATGAAACCATCCCGAGTCAATGTCAGGAAACTAGAAGCTAAGATATTGAAACAAAAATATTTTGTATTTAAAAGTGCATTGATTACACCCACTGGATGAATTCTTAAAGAGAAAAAAAATACTAGATTTTCAGCGTTAAAAGTTTAAATCTTAGGATATGGGATCTTTTCTCTAGAAAGGAAGATAAAACTAAAAGGAATCTTAAAAATCAACAAATATAATTAAAGAAGAAACTGCTGCCCAGAGATTAATGGTTCAAACTAATGGTAGTGTCTAAGGAATACACAAGCCAATTAGAAGGAGGATCCACTGGCCAAAGACATGACAATTTGAATATAAAAAGGAATAACTGCAACTGATTCAAATATTTCAAATCTATAAAGTTTATGGATTTATACTGAGTTGATAAATTGTTCATCCCACACCTAGCCTCCAAAATAGAGAAAAATTCTGGTTGAACCCAAGTGGAGGTTGCTAGGATCCCAAATGGGTATTCTAAAAATTAATAAATAAAGACTGAGGAATGTGTCCTTCTTTTCATTTTCAAACTATTTTTCAGAATAATCAAATAATTGGTGATGTTAAATGTATCCATGTAAAGAATCCCAACTAGTAAATGTGCAAAGAATGATAGAATTTGATGTTTTTCATTTTATCACTCCTGTGGAAGATGGGTAGTTGCAAAAACTATAGATGGAAGGTTGATGGGGAACTTTTTAAAAGAATCCAAATGAATGAAGCCAAAGTTCACAAAGTTACGGGCAGGTTTAACAGCTGCCCTATACTATCTGAAGAGCCATTCATAGGATGGGGGTACATCAGATGATCCCACTCTCTGATTGGCCGCTGATGACAACACTGTCTCAAAGAGCCTTTGACTGAAGAGATGGGGAATATGTCTCATAAATAAACAATGAAAAAACAAAAAGTCCTAAAAGAAACCGGTGGTGGGAGGAAACAACCAGTACAGGAACAAAGATACAAATCCCAACCCACTTCTCAGAAGCCATATAAGCAAGAGGGAAGTGGAGGGAAATGTCTGACTGGGAGAAGAAAAAAATCTATCATTCTGTACCCTGCTAAATTATCAAGTAAAGGAGAAATTAATTCTTTCCCAAACGAAAACTCTGGGAACATGTTGCCAATATACTTACCTTGCAAGAAATATTAAAAGAAGTTCTTTAGAGTGAAGGACAATGATAACAGTCAGAAACAAATCTACATAAAGAAGAGGTACATCAAAAAATGAGTAAGCCGGGCACGGTGGCACATGCCTGTAGTCCCAGTGGCTCAGGAGGCTGAGGCAGGAGGATCATGAGTTCAAAGTCAGCCTCAATAATAGCGAAGCATTAAGCAACTCAGTGAAACCYTGTCTGTAAATAAAATACAAAATAAGGATGGGGATGTGGCTCATTGGTTGAGTACTCCTGAATTCAATCCCAATACCCTCCCAAAAAAAAGAATTAGTAAAGGTAAAATACAAAATTCATTTTTCTTATTCTTAATTGATCCAATGGGTAACAGTTTGTTCAAAATAAAATAGCAACAATGCATTCAATCAATGTGTGCTTAGGTATAGATCTTATATATGTATATGTACCTAAGTGAATATGTGTGTAAGTGAATCGAACAAGAACATAATACAAGGGACTGAAGAGAGGAATTAAGATTACTATTATTTTAATGTACTTACACTACTCATGAAGGGGGATAGTGTTATTTAAAGGGGGACTTGGATAAGTTATAACTGTATGTTACCTCCAAGGTAACTACTAAAAACTAACTAACTACCTATAACTGTAGTTACCTCCAAGTTAACTACTAAAAAAAAAGTATTTAAAAAGGCACGACTGGTATGCAAAGAAAAGAGAGAAATGGAATCATTAAAAATTACAATTAAAAACACAAATGGGAGAATCACAGCCTTTGGGACAGGAATCCCCTGTGTTTTCCTTTGTGAGAAAAGCAATAAAACACACACACACACACACACACACACACACACACAAATGGCAGAAAAAAAGTGAAAGACAAAAATAGAAGCAAAAGAACAAGGGATGACAAATAGAAAATAGAAATAAAAATGGCAGATATTAATCCAACCATATCAATCACCACTTTGACCACTTTGACCATCAATGCACTAAATGTACCAATTGAAAGACAAACTGTCAAAGTGGAATAAAAAAATAAGACCCAGCAATATGTTGTCTTTGAAAAATCCATTTAAAATATGAAGATGCATGTAGGTTAAATGTAAACAGATGGAGAAAAAATACCATGCTAACAATAATCAAAAGAACACAGAAGTAGCTATAGAAGTTTTAGACCCTAGCAGACTTAAAAGTAAGGAATGTTCTCAAAGATTTTTTTTAAAAAGTCATTACCTGGTGATAAAGAAGTCAATTCTCCAAGAAAACATAACAATCCTTAAGGTGCATATATTTAATAACAGAGCATCGAAGTACATGAATCAAAAACTGATAGAACTACAAGGAGAAAGAAATGAATCCACTATTATAGTTGGAGATTTCAACACCCTTTGTCAGAAATGGACAGATCCAGCAGACAGAAAATCATTAAGAGAATAGTTGAACTCAATAACACCATCAATCAACTGGATATAATTGACATGAAGACCATTTCATTCAACAACAGCAGAATATGCACTTTTCTCAGCTTACCTGGAACATTTACCAAGACAGACCATATTAAACACACCTTAACAAATTTAAAATAGAAATCATATAATGTCTACTCTCAGAACACAGTGGAACTAAACTAGAAATCAATAACAAACACACTTCTAAATAATATGTGTATCAAAGAAGAAATCTCAAGAGAAATCATATTTTGAATTAAATGAAATGAAAGCACAACTTATCAAAATTTGCAGGATGCAATTAAAGCAGTGTTTAGAGGGAATTTTATTTATTTGGGGGAGAGCAGGGAGGGTACTGGGAATTGAACTTAGGAACACTCAACCACTGAGCCACATCTCCTACCCTATTTTGTATTTATGTAGAGACAGGGTCTCATTGAGTTGCTTAGCATCTCGCCATTGCTGAGACTGGCTTTGAACTGGCAATCCTCTGCCTTAGCCTCCCAAACCATTGGGATTACAGGTATGTGCCACTGTACCCGGCTAGAGGGAAATTCAAAGCACCGAATGCATATATTAGAAAAGAAGAATGATCTAAAATCAATTATTTTACCTTCCACTTTAGAAAATTAGAAGGATGGGTCAAGTAAATCCAAGGAAAGAAGAAGAAATGAAATTATAAAAATTAAAGTAGAAATCAATAAAACTGAAAACAGGAAATCAATAGAGAAAAATCAATGAAACCAAAAACTGGTTCTTTGGAAAAAATCAATACAATCAATATAATCAAGAGAACTGAGGGGAAAAGAGAGACACACAAATTATCAAAATCAGAAATAAAAGAGGGGCCATCATTTCAGATGCCACAGATATTAAAAGGATCATTGAGGGCTACTGTAAACAATTCTGTGCCCTAAATTTGATAACCTAAATGAAATAGACCAATTCTTTGAAGGATACAATCTGCCAAAACTCACAAGAAAAAAAATAGGTGAGTGGGGTAAAAATGCACTATTCTGTTATACTGGTTATTTAAGTTAAAGACACTTGAAAATAAGCAGGTACAAAATTATCACTTTGGCCTTTGCCATGTTTCTTAGAAGATAAAATTCCCATGTAAAAAGATGTCCTTCCTATACACGAAAGATATAACATCCTTACCCTCAAGGATAAGAAATCAAAACAGAATTCTGTGCAGACTATTTAAATAAAATGTTATCTTTTAAACCTCCCTGCATGATTTAGCTGCTTATTCACAATTATTCTTTGTTCAATCCTGTATATGAGTAACTGACTCTAACTACTTCTTCAGGTCCTCCTTTTCCTATGAGGCTCCCACCACGTAAAACTTGTAAGTAATTATGTATCTTTTTCTCCTGTGAATATTACATCAACTTAATCCTCAGACCTAGCCTAAACTTTAAGAGGATGAAGGGAGGGCTTTTCCATTCCTACATAGACAATCTGAATGGGTCAATATCTATAAAAGAAATTGAATCAATCTTTAATGAACCTTCCCAAACAGAAAATGCAAGGCTAAATGGGTTCGCTGGTAAATCCTACCAGACATTTAAAAAGAAATGATACTAATTCTCTACACTCTCCTTCACAAAATAAAAGCTGGAGGGATACTTTCTAACTCATTCTATGAAGTCAGCCTTTCCCTAATACTGAAACCAGACAGAATGGACACTATGGATCTTCCACAGTTAAGTCTCAGGGGACTTGAACTGTGTTTACTCTGAGGACTTTCTCTATAAAAAATAACTAAATATGCAGAAGTAACAAAAAAGAAAAAAACAGGCAGAGAAAAGCACAGCACAGTCTAAAACTAAAAGTATGGAGAGAGAAATTTCTAAACATTGTTACTCTGTTATACACATGGAGCTCTGGTGGGTGTGACAGACCATGAAGCAAGACTTCAATATTCAAATAAAAACACCATCCTCTTTCCTCCTCACTGAACTATGCATTTCTTCCATCCACACAGTTTGAGAGAGGAAATAAGAAATAAAAAAGAAAAAGAAATTCATTTGGCAAGGACCTGGGTCCCAGCTCCTGTTGGTACCTATCTCTAAAATGAAGTTGGTAAGATTTCCAGCTATTGAGCTTTGGAATAGTGACTTGGTGTGCTTCAGGCACCATCTTCTTTTTTTAGTATGTATGTATGTATGTATGTATGTATGTATTTATATTGAGTGGAATGCTAATCCTACAAAATTCACCTAAAACACATAATTCCATAGGTGTTAGTATATTCTCAAAGTGGTATAGCCCAAACTACCATATAATTCCAGAACACTTTCATCATCCTTAAAAGAAACCCAGTAGGCATTAGCAATCATTCTCCATTCTCCCCTTTCTCCAAGAACCTCTGCTGACCACTAATCTACATTCTGTCTCTATGTATTTGCCTGTCTTGGATTTTTCATATCAATGGAGTCATATAGCATGAGGCCTTACTACTGGGTTTCTTTTCTTTAGTGGAATATTTTCAAAGTTTATCACTTCTTAGTATGTATCAATATTTCATTCCCTTTTACAAGTGAATAATATTTCATTGTATAGACATGCCAAATTTGTTTACCCATTCATCAGTCAGCAGACATTTGAACTGTTTCCACTTTATAGTCATTATGCATAGTACTGCTATGAGCATTTGTGTACGAGTTCTTTTATGGACATATGTTTTCAATGAAGGAGTTTTCAATGAAGGAGTAGATTGATGGATCATATGGTAACTCTATTTCATTCCCTTTTTGAGGAACTGCCATACCATATCCCAAAATAGCTACACCATTTTATATTCCTAACAGCAAAGTGCAAGGGTATCAATTTCTCCACATTCTTTCCAACACTTGTTATGATCTACCTTCTTTACCTCATCCATTCTTAGTAGATATATAGTGGTACCTCATTGCAATTTTAATTTGCATTTCCTTATTGAGTACCGATGTTGGACCTCTTTTAGTGTGTTTTTTTAACATTTTCTTTGGAGAACTATCCAAATCTTTTGCCTATTTTTAATTGGAATATCTGTCTTTTAATTATCAAGTTTAGAAATCCTGTATCTATTTGGGACACAAATCCTTTATGGTCTGCAGATATTTTCTTGTATTCTTTGAGCAGTCATTCCACTTTCTTGAGAATATCTTTGGAAGTACAGGTGATTTTGAAATCTAATTTATTTTTCCTGTGGTGTGTGTGTGTGTGTGTGTGTGTGTGTGTATAGATACACACACTTTGTGACATATATAACCACTGCCTAGCCTCAGGTCTCAAGGATTTATGCCTTTTTTGTCTAAGGATTTAGAGTTACAGCTATTACATTTAAGTCATTGATCCATTTTGAGCTAATTTTTATACAGTGTGAGGTAGGGATATAACTTCATTTCTTTGCCATTTTCTTTTTATGACACTTTCTGGTTTTGTGAAGCTGCTGCCCTCACACATGTTTTGCCTCAGTAAAAGTCACAGGTTCAATATTAGAAAAGCAGGTGTGTATTCAATAAACTAAAACTACTAGTTAAATTTCAAAAGAAAGAAAGTACTATATCTTAGGAGGATAGCTCAATGAAGAGTTGCCTATTATGAGTAAAATATAATTTTTATTATTTTCCTATGATCCCTAATTGATGGCACAGAGGGCAGTACACAGGATGAAGTACGTGAACTCCAAAGCCAGAGTCTATATTTTTTTAATTTTTTAAATTGTTAATGGACTTTTATTTTATTCACTTATTTATAGGCAATGCTGAGAATTAAACTCAGTGCCTCACACAAGCAGGGAAAGTACTCTACCACTGAGCCACAATTCCAGCCTAGATTCAATCTTAATTCTACTATTTTCAAGCCATGTGAATTAAAGTCAAGTTATTCTCTTCTCTGTGCATCAGATCTGATTCTAAAATGAGAAGAAATAAAATACACATCATCATAGACTTATAAGGATTATGAGTTAATACAGGCAAAGAACTGAGAACCATGCACAGTACCCTGTGGACACCCAACACATGCGAGCTATTATTATCAGTAAAGGTCCCATCCTATTAACACTAGAGGTACAGTTTCCCAAGAAACATGTCTCAAAATAATGGAGCTTGGATAATTGATACAGTTACCATGACAACATCTCTGATTCTCCCAGATGTTTTCCTTAAATCCCAGAGCCTCAGTGCTCCCCAGCAGGAGAACCACTGGATAAAGTAGTTCCTGTATAAAAGTGTATAAAGTGACCTGTATACAAGTCACTTTCAAACTCTTTTTTCTTTTTAACATAGCCTCAAGATGATCCCTCGAGCCCATCTCTTCCTATCTGTTCCCGGTCACAATGCTCACATATCTTAAGAACCAGTATTCTCATAGGTCTGCCGTTGGGCTCGGCACACTCAACCCCAGTACAATCTTCTTAGGAGTTTTAGTCTTTTTCTGGGAAATCAACTTGGTCTGCCCACCACAGCCACTCTGCTTCCTGTCACAATGCTGCTTTCCCTGGGCATAGAGGGTCCCTGCCCTCCAGCACTGTGTCATCTTGTGGGGTCGGTGCTCACCATTCTTCTCACAGACTTTCTTGTGGGTTTTGGAAGCACTCACCACCTCTGCAGGAGCATCAATGGCATGGAGACAAGCTCATATTCTGATTGGTTTTCCACAGACCTGTACGTTTACCTAAGACAAACCCAGGTGCCAAATTTTCCATACCACAAAAAAAAAAAAAATAGACTTAATTAAGTAATACTGCACTCTCTGGATCCTTTCTCTATAGTGTTGCTTCCAGGTTATTTAGCAACAGTGTTAGAAAGACTTCATAATACCAGGCATGGTGGTGCATGCCAATAATCCCAGCCACCAGGGAGACTGAGGCAGGAGGCTCACAAGCAATTTAGTGAGGCCCTAAACATCTTAGCTAGTAGCTGTCTCAAAATTAAAAAATAAAAAGGTCTGGGGTTGTGGCTCAGTAGGAAAGTGTCCCTGGGGTCAATCCCCAGTACCGAAAAGAGAAAAAAGGGGAATGGGGTTGTGGCTCAGCTGAAGAGCGCTCACATAGCATGTGCAGGGTGCTGGGTTCGATCCTCAGCACCACATAAAAATAAAATAAAGGTATTGTGTCCAACTACTACTAAAACAATATTTTTTTAAAAAAGAAAAAGCAATACTTCATAACCCTAGAGTCAAGAGAGCTGGATTTTTTTTTCCCAGAATTTCCTGCACATGCTTTCTAAGCTTTTGGAGACACATTCCATCCATGTAAACCCACATCCTAAGCAATTTGAGGTCTCCCTTCTAAGGATGATCTTTTATACTGCCAATCCCTAATGATTCAGATTTGAACAGGTCTCCATTCAAAAGAGATTTCTTACCAGTGAGAAAGTTTCTGGAACATTTTTCTCCTTAGACCCTAACAACTACGCCATCAGTTAGTATACATTTAGCAGTTGCAAATTAATGTCATTTTAATGTCAGAAAATGCAAAATGTAGCTAGATAGGGAAACTTCCTGGAATCAAATCATGGACAGGGTGATTACTGAGTTCTGACAAATGTCAAGATTTGTTCGACCAGCCAAACATTGCTCTCTTTCCTCCAGAAGGTACACTATACTTATTCTACAGTGCTTCTGTGCTTAAAACTATTTTCAGAATTCCTCTTCAAAGTTCCTTTCAGGACTGGGAGTGTAGCTCAGTGGTAGAGCACTTGCCTGGCATGTGCTGTGGGTCTGATCCCCAGCACTGCAAAAAAAAAAAAGAATTCTTTTCAGACCCTATTAGTTATCTACGTGCACAAACATCACACACTCTTCAATATTTTATACCTTTTTTTTTTTAAATCCAAAATGGGATTATTCAGCTTGATCATTCACCCAGTCTACCTTCTACTGAGGGCAACACTGTCCGATTCCAGAACTCCTGCATTTCCTCCCTGGACACCTCTTGTGACTCATTTCAGTTCAAACAGAGCTTTGTCTGTAACAGACCGTATTTCATCCCAGAGCTCAAGCTGAGAGCAAAACAGCCTGAACTCCACCCTAGAGGCCTGCCTCACTTAAGAAAATAGACTTTCCTCTTCCAAACTGAATTCAGCAAGTGTACACTAAGGTCTGTCTCTCAGCTCATAAAACAGGGAATCCACTGGGTGAGGTGGGCTACAAGGTCTCCTACCCTCCTATCCAGGAGGTCAGCCTGTCCTCCTGGATCCCCGATCTCTGGCACTTCCCCATCCTATCCTCCCAAGGGGCTGTTTTAAGACTTAATTTCTCCAGTCTTAAGAAGCCCATATCCTAGTTATAACCTCCGTGGAAATTTAAAAAAGAAAAAGAAAAAAATCCAGGACCAATTCTCAATGTAATACTATTCGACAAAAATAAGGCATACTCCTCAGACCAGGTGAGGCTATCTGCCTTCAGCCTCCTGTAGCTCCAGGAAATGAGACGAAGAAACCAAACCACAAAGAGTTTTTCCACTAAAGAAGAAAGGAACAATTTTGACAGGCAAAGCAAATATACCCACAGGGTTCTTCCACTGACCTGAGACACCACGGCGCAGCCTTCAGCAGCAGAGTGGAGCTGGCCAGGGCTCGACACAATGAGGGCTTCTGTGCAAGGAGGGTGGCCAGCCATCCCAGCTGGCCTGGGACTGTCCCGATCCCAGCTCTGGAAATCCAGCATTTCCAATGACTACCCTGCCACCATGGTGGCTACTCTTCCTTTGTCACCTTACCTCCAAACCAGGACCATACAAGACAGGACACCAGAAACTAGCAAAGAGGTAAGGAGGAGTAGGGCAGCTTGTTCCTGAGACAGARCTTTTTAGGCCTTAAAGAGGTTTGATGGGTTAGATGAAGCACAGTTCTCAAGAAGCCCTTCTTTTACTCAGGCACCAACAGTTGCTCAGTCAGGGAGTGTGTACCCTCAGAGAAGCCACTGGATCACTTCCTGGGTTGGGGATTAGACTTGCCTACTAGCCCAGTGGTAGAGACTCCCACCTCAAGTTTCCAAAACTTTGGTGCTCAGACCATCTGCATTAGAATCCCCTGTGAGACTGATGAAATCCAAGTTTCTCTGGCTTCTTGCTAAATCAGTCTCTGATAATAGACAATTCAGAAATCTCCATTTTTTCAGAAAGCAAAGGATATGTCTGGTGAATACTGAAATCCAAGGACTGATGTCCCGACTACTTCTTATCCCAAACACCCACCCTCATCACAAGAAAGATTCTGATGTCAGCAATCTTCAGGGTCAGCAAAAGCAGGAGAGAGGAGAACTTGTCTCTGGGGCCTCCCTGTATCCCTGTCCTGTCTCAGGTTCCTGATCCCCTTTTTAAACACTCAAGAACCATCACCACCTGCTGCCTTATGGCTGGATAACATTCACCCAAATCTACCCATTCTAAAGGGTCTCTGTTCCAAAATCACCTGCAATTTCTCCTCTTCCAACCACCAAACCTTTTATTCACACACATTTGAATTCACTATTACAAAAGCTATCTGGATAGATTAATTCACACCTAGGGCAAAATGACTGATATAATGTGTTCCTTTTGGGAAGGGGGAGTTGCTTACTACCTCAATGAGTCATGGATGGATGGGATTAAAGGACATGGAGAGAAAAACAGTCTCAGCGTTGAAAGTACTGGAATCAGTACTTTCTACTAACTTCCCTGACTGACACAAAAATTTTCTCTTTTTGACAAGGGAAAATTCCACTAAAAGACTATTATACAACTCCTCATAACATTGCTTATATTCACTGCCTACAGGAAAATAATCAAAGTATGCTCATGGGTCTTAGGCAAACAAGGGTCTAAGTCCTCCCTACCACTTATTGGCCATGTGACTCTGGACAATGTACTTGACTTCATATTTGTAGAAATGGAAGTAAATATAACACTTACCTCAAAGAGTTGTTAGAATTCAAAGAAACAATTTCTTTTCAAAGTATCTAGCATTTGTAACTTAAATAACTTTATTAATTATTGTTATCAACACTGCAAGAGTACATAATTAACAAATATTCATCTGACAACTTTCCTGCATTCAATTACACAGAATTATTCTTGTGAGCTTGGTGATCACGGCTCATTATTCAGAAAGTCTTGGTGTTGTTCATTTACAACTCTGAAAAGCTGAGGAGGATAGTGGTTATGACCACCAAAAATGGTTTTTGCCCTGGACCAGTGACATCTGTACAATTAATTCACTTTATTCCTGCTGAGTATCTAAACACACCATGGCTACTGTTGCTAATTTCCTCCTTGAATTTTTAGTCTTTGAAATCCATTCAACAACATGATCACTGAGCCTGAGACCTCCTGAGCCACTTCCTATAGGTGGTACCACCTAAGCAAAAATGTAACCAGAAGTGGAAAGGACCTGAGCATGGTGGGATGGCCTGAGCTATGAACTCTAACTAGCTAACAGCTCCTCTCTGCCAGACTCCTCTCCTGGAGGGTAATGATGACTCTAGCCACAACAGACAAGGAGGAAGAGCATGACTTCCATCAGGAGAAACCGAGAGGGTCTGGCATTGTCGGGGCAACTGACTGCATTGTCCCAATTCACACTAAAGACCTGCAAAAATGTGTTTATGTTTTGCTGGGAATTTCCAAGATCCAAGACAGATGGACACATAGCAATAATAGATGGAAAGAGTTCATGGCCTTTGAGTTCTGTGCTCAACATAGGATGGCCCAGAGAGTCAAATTGAGGGGTTCTCCCAGGAGACAAGAGAAAAAAATGTTTAAAATAAAAAAGAACAAGATCATGGCATTTGCAGTAAATAGATGTGTTAGAGAAGATTGTGCTAAGTGAAGTTAGCCAATCCCAAAGAAACAAATGCCGAATGTTTTCTCTGATATAAGGGGGGAGACTCAAAGTGGGGTAGTGAGGGAGAGCATGGGAGGAAGATTATTTCTAGATAGGGAAGAGAAGTAGGAGGGAAAGGGAGGGGGATGGGAAATAGCAAGGATGGTGGAAGGTGATGGTCATCATTATACAAAATACATGTATGAAGATTTGAATTTGGTGTTAACACACCTTATATACAAACAGAGATATGATAAATTGTGATATATATGTGTATTAAGAATTTTAATGCAAAAAAGAGAGAGAGAGAGACTACATGTATAATGGTAAAAATAAAAAATAAATGTACTGTTCAAGGATGTCTCCACTGTGATTACAGGGTAGAATGAATATAAGCAATGTCCAGCTTATAGAAAAACCAAAAGAGGGGTCAGGGTTCAACAAGATGTCAGAGCAGGGAATGCAGACCAGACATAAAGGATGGTGACAAAAACCCAACAAGGAGGGCAAATGCAAATAAAACGGATGATTCTTTGAGCATTTACAGACTCCAGGGGCTATGCTGATGTTCAGCAAGCAACACCCCCCTTAATGCTTATGACAACTTTGTGAGGAAGATGAAACCCCCAGGAAGCACTGAGAGGTTCTGCAACTTGCCCAGAGTCAGACAGCTAATTAACTCCAAAACCACAATTTGAACCCAGGCCCCCCAATTCCAAAATGTAAGCTTTCAAATAACCGCACTAAACAAAGAGAGCTAGAAAAGAACAAAGTTTAGCAGAGAGTCACTGCTATTATCCAAAACACTTTAAGCAAAATGAAATTGAATTACCAAACATAACAGGGTTGGGGATTTATCTCGGTGATATAGTGCTTGCCTAGCACACAAGACCCTGAGTTCGGTCCTGGGACCTGAAAAAAATTAAATAATGTAATATAAAATAACCAAATATAAATAGTTCATCATAATGAAAGTCACTAATCAGGACACCCTGATATTTTACACATGACCCATTTCTACTTTGATTCTATTGGTTCAATTGTGATTTTAGCCTTCAGATCTTTTTGAAAGCAATTCAACAACAAAATTTTTAAAAAGAACATAGTCATCTCTAGTTACAGAATGTACACAGAGCTCTCAGATGTGAGGAGTGGTGGCTGGCCTGGGAGTTTTCATGATCAAGTTACATAGCACTAGTGAACCTCTTTCTGGGAATCGAAGTCAAGCTCTGAGGGCTATAATCCTAAGTAACATGAAGAAATTAGAGAAAGACATTCTCATTAGCATGAAGCTTTAGAGTTGTGGCCAAAGGTTTCAAAAGAAAATGTAAAATCCAATCAGGAAAAAAAGACTATGAGATGTTGCCAAGAGCTAAAGAAATACAGACTGCAATCAAGCAGTGGAGGAAATCAAGTTGCAACCTAATGAGGATACAGACAGATGTCCACCCAAATCAGATGAAAGGAGGACATAAGAATATCAACCCAGGAGACCAAAGTTGAAAATCCATCACAACGGAAGGGTGTGGGCTGCTGTTGTCATAGCAACTGCATAGGGCTTAGCCTTATGTTGCCATAGTAATTAGAAAATGGATTTATCTGTAGTTCCCAAAGAAAGCTGGACATGTGTGTCTCTTCAACCCCAAATCTCTGCCAGATAAACATCTGTATACTGGCACATCTGTATATCGGCCCAGTCCTCAACCAGCACGGAAACCTCAGCCCACCTCCTGCAATCGATTTGCTTCCCAAAGTGAATGTCTCAACAGCTCAGGAAAGGAATGGAATCAAATATAGAGATGTTGAAGCAAATAAAATCCATGGTATTAATAGCTTTGTGTGAAGTTAGCAATTATCTTTGTAAATTCGGTATTAAAGTGTATGGAGTGTTTGAGAATCTGGAGAATCTAATATCTTTGAGAATATGCAATTGATTTGAAACCTGTGATGGAGTAAAAGGTGAAAAATACCAGAATTTTCAAACACTATTTGAATATTTAGAAGAATGAGGAATCTATTGTATTTGTAAATTTAAGTTTTAGTTGACAAGAATTATTCAAGTACTTAGGAAAGTGCTGTGATCTTCAGGTTTGCCTTATTGGAGATTTGAAGTGATTTAAAAGCAAACTGGATCTACTTACTTACAAAAACAACTTTAAATGTTTAAGGAAATGTATTTAAATTACAAACCAAATGGATTAATGGAAATTTAGTCTGTCTGACTTAAATTTACTAACCATTATTTAAAGCAAACACCTGAAAACTGTTTTGTTTTTATACATTACTTATTAGATTTATATACTGAATGTATATATTTAAGGTAAATAAAAGTATGAGATGAAAATAAATCTAGTTTCCAACTTTAACAAGCCATATTAAAAATTAATACCATTTAAAACTAATATCAATTGTAGTCCAGCAAAAAATGCATAGCCTGAATCTAACCTTAAATAGATATCAAATAAAGGCAAAATAATAGTTATTCCATCAAAATACTGGATTACATTATTCAAAAATATTATTGTCATGAAATAAAAGAAAAAATAGTTCCAGAGTACAGACGACCAAGGGACAAGTCAATAAATTGCATGAACTGAAGTTTTCTTTGACTAAAAGTGACATTATTGTTTCATTTAGTGAAATCTCAATAAAGTCTGTGGATTAGATAATACTATGCTATCAATGTTAATTTCCTAATTTTCAAAATTATACTTACATGAGGGAATATCTTTGCTTTTAGGAATTACGGTGTTTTTCTTAGGAGCAAAGAGACATCTCCTCTGTATTTATTTCAGTGGTTCATAAAAAAAAATTGAT